AACAACTCCTGCTGCAAATTTATCAACATTTTGGAAGGAAATGTTTTATGTTCCATGAGTACTTAAGGGGCTCTTTGAAGCTGGAATATTAACAATTTTGGCAGGTCCATCAATGCCATCATCAACCCTGATTGATCTAGCATTGTTTGTGATTGGCAATTCCTGGGCAATGCTTTTCTCATCTGTTTCTGAGTTTTTCGGATCTTTGCTTTTACCCCACACCACAGAGTAAAGACCTGAGACTATGATAATGGCTCCAAGTATGCTGAAATCGACCAAAGACAAAAAGAAGCAACCATGCAATCAGAACAAGGAAAACCAATGCGGCTTCCACTAATGGATTTGGCTTCTAAATTGTTTAATGGTTAATAAAGCAAAGGAAACTACTTAGATACTGCATTCTGTTACTATCTGCAAAAGTAATTATCTCTAATATATATTTGACAGTGCACCATATATTCATGTCTTAGTAAACTTTGTTATCATCCCAGGATTAATAGAATATGCTTTTTGTGTCAATTATCAAAAGATGAAAGCACAAGTTGTTGCAGGAAAATATGATACGCTAGCAGAATCATACCTTCCAAGGTGGATTTTTTCAGCTAAAACAATAACCCCCAGCGCAGCAGTGATGATCATGCACAGAGGGCTGAAAGATGTTACAAAAACTGGCCCTCGTTCCCTGATGACGACTCCTTGCACATAATATGCCATTCCGGAGCACACTATTCCCTAATCAATCACAAATTTTAAAGTGTTAAGCACTTTTGTTTCATGCCTTTGCTTATTTTTGTTTTACTAAGACCTTTTAAGTGCATATCATGGCTGGCAAAAAAGGCTTGAAAAGCAATAAATCAAAAGTTGGTATCCCTTTATGTTTCTGAATTCATTGTATTTGGTTTTAATTGGGGCACTTACAGAGTAAGATGCAGCAAGAAGCCTTGAGTCCCAGCCTACTTTCCAGGCACTGAAGTCACGGACCATGATAAGGGACACTCCTGCACCTTCCACCATTCCCATGAAACATATCCAAGCTGTAAGAGAGAGCTCTGCAGGGTACTTCTTCAACGTGAAAGACTGAACCAGAAACCATAACCAACATTAGCTCAAAAAGAAAAAAAAAAGGTAGTTTAATCAACTTTGTTCCTTCAACAGACTAGAGATATTTTTACTTACTTGCAAAATGAAGAAGCTAGACCAGCCAAATATACTTCCCAGAAGCATTATGGTCCCAGTAACCCAGTGCCTATCTGCAGATTCAGTGGTGGTTCCATGGTGGGTAGCTCCTCCTGACTTGATGAAATCAATAATGGGACCTTTGTACAAAGTCATGACCATTGCTCCTACCACCGTGATTGCAGTTCCAATGATCTTTGCTAGACTCTGTATCTTCTTCACATTGATCTTCTCTAACCTGATTGACATAATCATAATATTAAACAATGATAAAATCCTAAAATCCTATTGAATATATACAATCCCAAGATCTCTCACTTTGTAATCAGAGCACCGGCTCAGTCCTTTAATTTATCATCTAAAACGCATGTGGATTTATATATATATATATATTTTAAAGCAAGTCCTTTTTTAGTCATTAAAATAATAAATAAGAAAAAGGAATGAAGATGCTGGAACTTTTTAAGCTATTTGCTGTGGTGTGATGTGGTGGGCACTGGCATATTTTCTATCAGGGGTCCCAGCGGCTTGAGCCTTTCTACAGGTTGTAGGATCTTATTGAGCGTCTTTTCCATTAGTGTGATTGCACGACACTATTAGTAAAATGATGAATTGGTTTGAATCTTTTTCACCTGAAAATCATTGCCAGTATGAAGGTAACAGCAGGAAGCATGTTGACGAAAGCAGATGAATATGTTGCTGTGGTGTACTTCATTCCGAGATAGTACAAGTTCTGGTCAAGTACTGGCCTGGACATCCCAATCAACTTCGTTAATTAGACCTAGTATTCTTGTTAGCAGTTAACATCTTCAATTTCTTCGTAATATTTATAAATATATCAAGAACAGGAAACATGCATGGACTCGGGATATATGCTAAAAGATGAACACTTGATTTCGTCATTTAAATTGCTACTATATATCATCTATATATGGAAGGATATGTTAAACTTTCATGAGCAATTAAGGATGAAACTCTTTGATTCAGCCTTCCAACCATGATGAGAAAGAAGGGAATGAATTGGTTATTGTGAGAAAAAGGGAAAAAAGAAAACAGAGAATCCAATTCCTGCAGCCACAAGTTGAAGATCCTGTTGCAAGAAGCCAGCAAAGTGAACTCTTCGGAATCTCCTGAGGCTCAGTTGTTTCTAACAAGCAACAGTGCACTTATATATATATGCATGTATTTACATATATTGTAGAAACACATGCATATAATATAAGCACATTTGACACAACATGGAGATGCATTTATGTGCATAAAGATGAAAAATGGAGGAGTTTAGAGCATTACTCCAGGAAACCAAGAAGCACAATCCTGAGGAAGATAGGGAGGGTCATCTTTGGCCTTATTTTCCTGCGTAGAGAATGGAAAGCAATAAGGTTAGGGTTTAAGCACCATTATGCGGTTGAATAAGCAAATGGATGAATGTGCTTGTGAGAGAGGGGAGAGGACAAGAAGAGAGAAACCTTTCAAGGACAAAGGCAAAGGGTGCAATGACAATGGTTGCGACAACATGACGGTACGTAGCAAGGATGAAATTACTCATGCCATGCTTCAAAGAAACCATGGAGATTATGTACATCCCTGCATATCCAAATTGCAGGGAGACCATTGCCAGGTATGGTTTCACTTTGTTCAGCATGTTAGACAATGCTGCACATGGCGTTTGGTCTCCCATGTTTCTCTCTCTCTCTTTCTCTGTTTTCCCTTGAGTACTTACTCTTAGGCTGCCAACACGGATATGAGAAACGGCCTTCTTATAGGCAGAAAAATGCTAAAAGAAAAAGAAAAAAAAAAGCAAGTGCATTATTTTCCAATAAATGTCAGAGCTGTATAAGTCCAAGGCACTCACTCTCGCTCTAATTTAGATTCCCTTATCCATTAAGCAAAAATCAACCCCTATTCCAAGCAACTAGAATCCTCACTTTGCTGTTAGAATCAGAGTAAATAAAAAAGGAAGGAAGAAGTGTGTTTCTGTGGATCTCTGTGTATATGATGCTTTTCCTTTTCTTTCCATTTCTTTTAATTGTTTTTGTGGGAAGTGGGGATTTGATTCATTGACCACCAAATGATGTTTAGGTTAAGTGCGGATGATGCATGCAAAAATGATGTGGCTTCTGTGTAGAGTGGGTGCTATGAAGCGTGGCCACCAATTTCTAATACCATGTTTTGCTTGTAAACTATCTGATTTCCTCACGGAATTCACTCTGATTTGCTCTCCATTTTGACCTTCACACCCAAAGTAAAAGCCATCCCGCTGGCTTACTGCAAATGACATTGACAAAGCTCAATTCTCTGATCAGAACAGACATTGTATCTATGGTTGGTCTACTTTGGAGAAATTTTACTTCATCACTTCCGAATCTACATCTTAAAAGTTTGAAACTGAAATTCCTTAGAATAATAGATGCTAATTAATTGGATTGAAATGCTTGCTGATTAATCACTTGGATTAGGCATGTCTGACTTAATTCATCATATGTGTGAAGCGGAAACCACTCTTGTCTCTTTTAGCTTCTCAATGATAATTTCGAATGTTTTGTGTGGAAACATTTATTCTTATTCCCCTGCCTCCTGCCTCTTCATTTCACTGTCAATGAATTCACTTGCCTTTTATGTAGCACATATTTGGAGCAACACTTGTTGCATCTTTCACAAATTGCCCAAGATTTCATTTATGTCTTATCTGTCAATTTCAACGATAAAAACATTAAAAAAAAAGAGAGAAGAATTTCTCTCCTTTACTCAAAGTTCCTTTGGTTTTTCCAACCAAATGG